CAAACGAACGAATTCGAGTGACTTACGACCAAACTCCTTGGTTTTGAAAAATATGTCATTTATTTTTGTTTTGAATTGGAAAATATTTATAAACATAAATAAAGGTTTGGTCGTAAGTCACTCGAATTCGTTCGTTTGGAATTTTACAAAAACAGGCTGTTAAAGAAAAGACCTCATTTTTGATGGCGGGCATGACAACTCCTCACTGGGACATTGGAATCCAAAAATTCCAACGGTGTTAGAAAGAGTCTGGCTCTCGTATGATCTAGGATTATTGACTTCGCTCTAAAATTAACAAAATGGCGGACCTTTGAAAAAATATTTTTGGAAAATCGCCGATTTTTGACCAAAAGCCAAGTTAAAAAATAAGGAAGATCTTCACCGATTGGCTTTACCCTAGTTCATACGATAGCTATACACTCACAGAGAAACGTGTAAAAATTTGGAATCGATTTGGTTATTAGTTTTTGAGTTATCGTGCCCGCCATTCGCAAAAGAGAAAAACGCGTTTAAAGTTTGAGAAGCCCTTTAGCCGTCACTTGATGCTGTCACAATAAATCGGCTATATCTTCAAGAGTTCTTGAAATGTCCAATTGAAATTTTGTAGGGACATTCTTGAATTAGTGTAGATTCGAATTGAATCAAAACAATTTTTGACCCCGAGAATGGGGGGTCCCCTTAATATTTCACAATATTTGCACTCTCCTGATAAAATGTCAATTGTTCCTCTGTTTCATCTTCCATTCCCCTCCAGAATTCATGTCAAACAAATAATCCCAATTTCATGTGCTGAATAAATTAGGACTGGAAACATGCGCCTAGTACGGTCTATTTTGAAGATTTTACTCAAATGTTCCTACTTTGTCTTCGTCCGAAATGAGAATCTTACAAAATAATTCTGCTGTCCTCAAAGTCATACTTTTCGCCCATGTTTCATGGATAACGACGCCCAGCTGGGAATGCTGACTTTTGTACTACGACAACGACCCTGGTCTCAATCCACCCAGATCTGTCACATCAAAGCTGCATCGGCCACATCGTCTAACGAATTATTGTGTTCCTAAACTCAAGAGGCCCATAAAAATAACGCTAGAGGTAATGAACAAGATAGCAGAACTTGGCTTTTGAGGATTGAAACGCCGATGGCACATCCGATCGTCTGTAATATTTTCTCTTTCCATAACAGACTCGACTAAACTGCATTATCAGTCCTTCTACCTAAGTTTCAACTCCTCTTTAGGCAGACTTCTAGTTTTAGTCCGCCTGAAATATTTTACAACTTCAGGTTACTTCACTTGATTTCATCAACAAATATATTTCTCATACTGCATCCACTTGTCTATAAATCGACTCCCTTACTCGAGTCGCCCTCCTTCATTTCGTCTGCAGATATAATTATCGGGCTCGGCACCAGATTAATTCCACATATATCAAAGTCATGTTGCAATTCGACTATAGGAAGACACAGAGATTTTGACTACAATCCCAAGTTTTAAAGTTACCCCGTAGACTATAAATATAAATGAGTTTTATGCCTTTTTAAGGCGAAGGATCATTCATGTAAATGTTTTTATTTATTTCTCTTTCGACATGAGCTACATGATCTCTGGATTTTCTTTTCATTGCAACCTCGATCATGTAGCTCATATCGAAAAAGAAATTAATAAAATGAACCTTCGTCCTAAAAGGCATATAAATCTTTACAAATGACAATTACTAAGGACACATGATGATATTTTATAATAAAAAATTCGATCACGGAGATTTTGAAACATGTGCTTTCATTTAAAGCCCTAAAATATGCAATTTTATTGATTCGACTTATACATAATTTCATGGCCATGTAATAGGGAAAATGTGGATGATTGCCAAAATCCAATTAAAATTACATTGTTAGCCCAGCTAGTTGCCTCCAGTTCGTAATTTACAGTAGTGTAGACAGTCACCAAATTTAGTGAAATATAGTTACCACCTTGTGATCGTTCAAAAGACACAAACCGTAATTGGTGTTAAGCCAGACTATAATAATTCATACGGATATTCTCCGCGGTATTGTGAGCACTTAAGAACAGTGTATGATGACTTTACTCAATCATTCTTGGACTAATATCTATGTGAAATACAGCAAAACACGTAGGCTTATTAGTCTGTAGTCAAGATTACACCCTGTAATCTAACCCAAATATATCACATTTTGTAATAGTAATACACTTATTCATTGTACCAACCATCACTAAAATGTGTCTTATTATAAGTGGATTGTACACAAATATGTTTAACCAAATTTTTTACACACTTCCTTTAAAAATTTTTTGCTAGCAAGAATATACCTCACGTTTTTATCTGATATATGCCGTTATAACATATTTTTTAATAATTACTTTTGCATACCAACGTATTTACTGCGCGCCGGGTTTGTTGGCTACTATTTTATACATTAAGCCCACAGTAAGACATTCACGAACATTCGTATTATTCACGACATCCGTATTACACGAAAATACATTTCCCTTCTTAAAAAATTGGTTTTTGTGAACTCCCACAATCGACCTATTGAAATAGTAGGTTAGATGTGGGAGATAACGAAAACATATATTAAAATAGTACATTACTTCAGATGTTTACATACAGATGGCGCTCTATATATTTAATAGTAATGTAGAAACATTACCAATTTGGTAGGTACATGATAACCCGTAATCGACCCATAGCTACCAAGAAATTACTTTTTCTACATCTCCCAAATCTACCCTATTATTTTTCAATTATACCAATTTCTTTTTATTTTTCTCTGAAATGTAGGTTTACATGAAAACATTTTTTTATTAAAAAATATTCTATGTATTGATATTTGAACAACTTTACTTCACAACCTTCCTGAGACTATTATTACTCCCCATTATTATTTATCTAAATGGCATTTTCCCAGCCTTTGTGCTTCAGCATCCATGGTTACATAAACAATGCTCCTACATCTCAAATAAAAATAAACTACCCACTTCAACATGGGTAATTGCATATCATAATACCAAGTACGTTAACAATGGTTGGCATTTAAATTATTTTTAAGGTTTTTTGTTCTGTTTTTAATTTTTCCACTTGAAATACAGTAAGCACCCACATCGTTCGGCACCCACATCCACATCGAAATACCACCTTCATTCTCTTCTTGTTTTTCTAAATCGAATCCATATCGAATCGTTCCATCTCATCACATCGTAACGGTTTGTTTAACTTAACTGTCCGCACTGTTGTGCATAACAAATACAAGCTCAAACACTCGTACACACACTATTACACTTTGCCGTGAATAGCTAGTTAGTCCTGCTGTTATATGCGCGATTGCTGTGGCATGTGTTGCGGTAATTAAGTTTATTTTTTATTGTTATTTAAAATTGCCGCACAGATGAAAGTGAAATACCATCGATGGTAAAGTTGTACTAAACGTTCTGTGGATGAGAAACTAAATCGAATGGAAAACAGTAGTTGCTACACACATATACATTATGGAGATTCCTTGTGGTAATGCGCGCTGCACATTTATTCCATGAATTTGAAAATAACTATAGTTTTCGATTCATTTGCTATTTGTTGATGTTTTCTAGTTATGCCAATTAATGGCTACAAATTAACATAATCCATTATAATTAGGGGGTTTCCGTATAATTAATTGAGGTAATTTTTACTATGGCAAATGGTTGCTCAAACGTCACTATTTATATACTTCGATATGGGTCGGTTAAAAGTGTAGTCATGCAAGGTTCTACTTCTCATTATAATGATTTTGAAAAAAATATTTTTTAGAAATCTAAGCTTATTACATAGTTGGCCCATGAAAAGTATTGTTTAAAAATTTCCAAGTATTCTAACTCACATCTCAGAGACAAAGGGTTTAAGGAATAATAAAGAAAGGGGTTAAGGAATAATGTAGAATGTGACCAATAACCGAAATACAATTGCAAGTTTAGCGATAAATTGGGATCTGTGTTATGATTTACACGGATATTCTCCATCGAGAGCAAGTACTTATATTTTTTAGGGTAATAACGGCAATACTGTAGAGGACTTCAAGTCTGAGTATAACGGCTGGAGAAAAAAATGAAGGCATACTCTCGATGCTGTAGAGGATGTAAGGTTTACTTTTGAAGCCATGAAATATATAACATTAAAGCATTAACGTTTTATTGGTGATCTCCCAAATTCGACCTACTTCTTCCGAAAAGTAGGTAGATATGGGATATTACGAAAGATCCCACTAAAATTCGGCTGCCAGTTTATGTGTTTGTCCGCAGAGGGCAGTGTGAATATTTTTACCATAGTCTAGATACACTCGAAACTGTGATGTTATGTATCACCCTGTGATCGATACCCAAGACGTATACCCCTAATGGTGTGAATGATTTTACACACACCAAATTGTGCTGTCAAAAGGGTAGGCATTGATTCTTAATTGTATTATTGGCGGTCTCCCCTATTTACCCTACTAATTTCTACAACCTATTGTTTGCATTAAGTTTTTAATCCTACTAAAATTCGCCTGTTTGTCGTCAGAGGGCATTGTGAATATGTTTACCACAGTCTAGATACACACCAAATTGTGCTGTTATTGTTCACCCTGTGGTATACAGCCTAGACATATAATATTACCGTAGTTTAGACACACACCAAATTGTGCTGTGATCGAGAGCGTAGACATTGACCCTTAATGGCCAGAATATTTTTACCGTAGTTTAGACACACATTAAATTGTGCTGCTATTTAGCACCCTGTGATCGAAAGCATAGAATTTGACCTTTAATTGTATTATTGGCCGTCTCCCATATTTACCGTACTAATTGCAGATTTCTTCAATTTCCTTCTTGCATTACATTTTTTGGTGAAGATGATAGGAGACTTCCAAGTTTATTTAAACCCCGTTTTTTTGCATAATTAACCCTTATCGGGTATAACTTTGCTTTTACAGAATGTAAACCTATCTATTTCCTTTTAAATTTACTTACAAAATATCCAAGGGTAATTTCACCGAACATTCGCCGCGCATAATTGAGGCTGCTGTTGATGAGGCTGTCGCTGATGCCGAAGTTGTTGAGCTGCTGTTGTGATGTTGCTGGTGGTGGTGACTGTGTTGGTTTGTTGTACCGTAGTTGGTGATGTTCGAGGAGGTTGTGCCGCCAACAGTGTAACGCTGTTGATGATGGAAATTGTGGCTAGCAGATGATAGTGAAGTCGCAACTGATGATCCCGCTGTTTGTGGCTCCTGTTGCAATAGATGCTGATGTTCATGTTGTTGTTGGTCTCGGTGTGACTGGAGATGATGATGATGGTGGTGGTGTTGGTTACTGTAGTATTGGCGCGTATGATGAGACTGTGTTGTGGCTGGCTGTTCCTGTTCGTGGTGCAGCTGTTGTGGTGGCTGTTGATCCAATGATGTATAATGATGACTGCTATTGTCGGCAACAAATGTCGCACTATTGCTGCTGGTACGTCTTTTGGCAGCTGTCATTAAGGTGGCCGGGACAAACCAAAATTCTTAGTAAAAAGAATTGGTTTTGGTTGGAGTTGAGGAAAGGAGAAAGAGATAGAGAAAGCAACAGGGATGGAAGAGATACGAATGGGCAAATTGTGGTTTTGAGATATCAAGAATTTCAATTTAATTTAAACAAGACCAGAAGAATTCAAAAATGCTTTTTCAATGTGCGTATGGCTTTGTGTGTGCTAGTGAGTGATATAAATTTTTTATGGTTTACGTCCTTCCTTCCTTCTAATAAAAATATCGTTTTCATAAACAATTTCCGGTTTCCGTGGTTAATGACACGACCAGCAATTGTGGTTCGGCCCTTATTCTTGTCAATTGTTTAGTAGTGTTTAAATTCAATTTCCGTTCTCTGCTATGATGACAGCATAAATGTTCAGTTCATATATATCGATATGTGTGTGTGTTTGAGTAGATTGGTGAAACTGTGACAGAGAGATAGGGTCAGCCAGAATTTAAGTGCAGCCAACTTTGGAGAAACGGGGTATCAGAATTTTATATGATTTGATCAGCAATTCAATGCATTTCCGTTGGAAATCATCACCATCAGCGTGTGTCGCCGAAATTGTGAACATGTTACAATACTGCCGCTAACCTTGACACACCATCGAACCTCCAAGTGGACAACTCTGAATGAGGATGCAACAGCACCACCGGTTATGGCGGTGGTGGCGGTGTTGTTGTGTGACTGGCCAATGTCCAAATCTGTGGGGATTGCTGTTCACTTATATGTGTATGTGTGATGACTATAGCCACAATATTGTCGTATTAGAAGTTGTCAATGGTCGTTTGTTGTTGTTTCCGTCAACTATTTCCGGTTGCAAGAAAATTGCATTATGACCCGGCTGGGCCAGCGCCAATGCCAGGTGACAGTAACCTGTCGTGCCTCTTCTTGGTGTTGTTGTTGGTGTCTATATGCCGCCTATGGTTTCTGGTGTCTGTTGTTTTTCTGTCTGAATGCTGAAAGCTGTTGCATGTCGTGCATGCAAAGTTCTTGTTGCTGTTGTTGTGGCAGCTGTTATTATTTTGCTGCCAAGGTAATGGCCTGGCTTTATTGTTCAATCCAACTGCAATTACCAATAAATTGTTTGTCTTTCAAAGGCAATGTTGAGGAAACTGTTCTCTATTTTCTCTTGCTCTCTATCTCTCCCTTATTTACTAGCACTTGTTTTTCCGTTCTTCTTTGTAGCAAGTTACACACAAAGCCTTTAGCTCGCTATTGTGAACGGTGTTGGAGCTCCAACTGTTTCTTCGAGTGTTAGGGGCACGTTGTAGCCTTTTATGATGTTGCTGAAGATGATAATGATGTTGGTTGCCTTGCCATAAACATGTTAATTTGTTGTTGCTGCCTTTTTGTTGCAAATTGTAATTACAGTTAGCTTGTAGTAAATGTTTGGCTCTCCCTCATCAGCATAACGGGCCTCGCTCTTCCAACTACTACAGTAACCACACCAGACCTCAATGGATTTGTTGTGTTGCTGTTGTTAGCCTTTTTACCTCTCCCTTTGGTATTTTCATTATTTCCGCTTTGACATTAAAGACCATGTCTGAAATTTGTTTTTGTTGTTTTTTTCTCTTTTTCTAAATATGTATAATCTTTTGTGCTTGAGTTGTTTGTTGTAATTCTTGTTTTCGTTTGAGTTTCTCTGATATGTATTCGTTTGAAAATTTTGTATAATTTTCGTCGTCCTTAATATTCTAAAGTTGATGGCACAAGTTTTGATATGTTTTTGAGTTAAACTTAAATTAGGTTTGTCGTGACAAAGGATATTTTTTGTTGTTGTTCTGCTACATTTCCCAAAGTGTTGCTGGAGAATGTACGATGCTGGATAATGGAATCTGAAAGAAAATATTGGAAAACATCAACAAATTATTTTTTGTGGTTTAAAAAGTAGTTGCAAGTAATTTTCAAATTTTTAGTAATACAAAAGTAAGGGCTATGTTTTTATAAAGGTTCCAGTTTGTGCTAAAAACCTACAAATCGTTTGGAAAAAAACTTAGTAAAAAGTCACATGGAAGTAAATATTGAACTATGCGAGGTACTGAAGTGCTTCACAAGGAATTAAAGAAGTAAAAGTCATATATTGCATGGTTTTACAGGAGCTACTCTAAACCAGTAAGGAAAGTAGTAAAGTCGGACTGGGCCGACTATATGATACCCTTCACCACTTTGGGTATATATTACATATGTACCGAACCGATTTCAGGGAACTTGTCAGAGACTAATTTATATAACATCAGTACGATATGTCAATCGGCCTCGCTAAGGATATTTTCACGAAGCTTAGCAGCATCATTCTAGACTTAATTCAGTATCCTATACCAAAATTCGTGCAAATCGAAAGATATATAGGGTCTTTGGTGCACCAATTACCTTAAATCGGATGAAAAAATATATGGGAGCTATATCTAAATCTGAACCGATTTTAGCGAAACTTGGCAGACAACATTCTCGATCGTATTCATAACTCTGTGCCAAATTTCATGCACATCGAAAGATTTCCAGGGGCTTTAGTGGACTATTTACCTAAAATCGGGCGAAGCTATATATGGGAGCTATATCTAAATCTGAACCGATTTTCACGAAACTTTGCACACATCATTCTAAACATAATTTAGTACGCTGTGCCAAATTTCGTGCAAATCGAATGATATATAGGGACTTTGGTGCCCCATTTACCTTAAATCGTACGAAACTATATATGGGAGCTATATCTAAATCTGAATGGATTTTCTCGAAACTTGGCACACATCATTCTGGACCTAATTTAGTACTCTGTGCCAAATTGCATGCAAATTAAATCGGACGAAACTATATATGGGAGCTATATCTAAATCTGAACCGATTTTTTTCAATTTCAGTAGGTTTCGTCCTTGGGCCAAATATGTGACGTGTGCCAAATTTCATCTAAATCGGATTATAAATGCGACCTGTACTTTGTTTACAATTTAACATCTACAGACGGACAGACGGACGGACATGCATAAATCGACTCAGAAAGTGATTCTATGCAGATTCTCAAAAGGAACCATGTGTCTATCTCGTTTCCTTTTGCCTGTTACAAACATATGCACAAAGACATAATACCCTGTACCACAGTGTGGTGAAGGGTATAAAAATATCGAAAAATTACGATGAACCAACAGGGGAGCTGAATTCAAAGGCTTTATTTTCCCATCAATTTTTGGGTTGGCCCCAAAAGCTTTCATTGTGGAGGGAATTAAATTGCCTGCTGCAGAGGAGAAGAATAGAGGGTGGATACATTCGACTGGAAATGTATAGTAAGAGAAAGTTGTCTGGATAACCAGAGGATTATTGCAAGAATAGTAAAATGTTATCCATTTCAAGGTATGGGACTGGAATTCAACATCTCTCGATCTAAATTTTTAAACGAATTTTTATACCATCCACCAAACGATTGACGGTATATTAAATTTGTCAGTACATTTGTAAAACCTCTAAATAATTATCGAAAGCCGTAAAGTAAAGTATTCTTGATCAAAATAAAATTATATGTCGATTTAGCCATGTCCGTCTGTTGAAATTACGATAGAGATCGCAATAGTAAAGATTGAGCTTAGAAATTTGGAATTGCAAATTGGATATACCGGTCCAAGTTTTGGGATAGCCCCTACATAATGGTACTACCCCCCAATACTCGATATTTTACGGTTGTTGGGTAGGTTTTTCAACCGAATGGGATATAATGTAGTATTTGGGGTTCTAATCTAATTCACCGAATTGCCTGTAATTTAGTATTTTAGATTCCTAATGTATAGCGAATCTCTATGGGTATTAAAACCTACCACAAAATGGCGATTCTACCAGAGAAACATATTATTTAAACCATCGTGAGGTTATCGTCCACCTAGCCAAGAAGAACAATAAAGCAGCAGGTGCCAATAGATTACCAGCCGAAATATTCAAGATCGGTGGTCAGATGCTGGTCAGAAGCATGCCCAATAATTGGAATTTCAGCATCCTGTGTCCCGTCCACAAAAAAGGAGACAAGACCCATCGGTTATCGTCCCCCTATCCAAGAAGAACAATAAATGTGCCATTAGATTACCAGACGAAATATTCAAGATCGGTGGCCAGATGCTGGTCAGGAGCATGCCCAATGATTGGAATTTCAGTATCCTGTGTCCCGCACACAAAGAAGGAGACAAGACCCATCGCATCGCATATAAAGTGTTATTCAGCGTTCTGTGTGAACGGCTGAAGCCAATGTTCAATCACAATATTGGACCATGCCAATGCGACTTCAGGCCTGGCAAATCCGCCATTGACCAGATTTTCACTCTGCGCCAGATCCTGGAAAAGACTCACGAAAAACACATCGACACATTCCACCTATTCGTAGACTATAAAGCCGCATTCGACAGCCCTATTCGCTCAGAAGTGTTTAAAGTCATGTCTGCGTCAAGTCATGTCATGTCAAAATGAATATGTCTATGCAGGTCAACTTTAAGTGGCACAAGGTCCGAAGTTAAAGTCGAAAAGGACCTGTCGGAGCTCATCAATACCGAACGAGGA